GCAGGAACGGGATGTTATACTTCGTGGCGATCACCAAAGGATATTGAACCGTCGTTTTACCAAGGCCTAGGAACTTGGCGTAGCCATTCGCGGTGTCCTTGATGAGGCCGTGATTCGGCTCGCCTCGTTTCAACGTGCCGTACACGAACACGCGGTGCAGCGGACTCTTGAACAAGTTTTCGTACATTTTCGAAAGCTGCGGATTACACGTGACTTCCGGCTGACACCATTGCATCCGGATTGTGCCGGTTGATTGTCGATTTATTCGCGCAACGATTACGTCACGTTCGCGCGACCCAATCTAGAGATAAGTCTTATCGATAAGAATTACACCAACGCGAATTATTACTTAATATGTTTTATAGCAGCCATGGAATGTCAAGGCGAAAGAGGATTACGAGAGACTATTTTTCAAACAGTATCTTTCGAATCTCTTGGAGAATGTTTGAGATTTGCGAGTCATGGATTCGATCATAAGAAAACGGAGAACTTAACAACACACACAGTACAATCAGTATAACCAGCTGGAACACTGCGCTATTTAGTTCGCGTCGAGACCTTTAATCTCCACGTGGAGATCACGTGATCATACACCATTTTAATGTCAGGATCGTATAAAGGAATATTTATTTTTCAAAGATAACTGTAAAACGTGTATATTCGCATTCTATTTTATTGAATTTAATCAAAAACAAAAGCTGTGTAGCCGCAGTAACTCAGATCTGTGGCATGTATTTTTTTTGTGGAGTGTTCTTATATTCTACTGGTTATATAACTGTAGATCTATTCTTTTTAGCTAAAGTTTTGCACGGTTCATCTTTTTTCCTTTTCTCTTTACGTTGGAGAGAAAAAGAGAAAAGATGAACCGTGCAAGAAGTTCAGTTAAAAAGAACAGGCCTCGTGATACAGTTATGTAGTATAAAGCCGCGTTTACAATGAGATTTTTTAAGCAGAAGAATCTGACCAATCATAGTCGAACATGAAGAGAATAAGCAATTATAATTGGTCAATTTTTTACGGCTTAAGGTTTAAAGTTTAAGAGCCGGTTTATAATAGGCTGTAACCGTTAATTTAGGCCGGTGTCGTAAAAGTTGGTTTGTATTTTTTCCGTATTTTTCCGTGGACATAGGCCGGTAAAGATAAATGGATCAATTCTAGAGTAAAGGGGGGAGCACAGACTCTTGCATGACGCATAACACATAATGCATAAGAAAATCCAATTGAAATCCTTCGTTTCCTTCCTTTCCATGAAATAAAGAACTATGATTGGTTGAATTTTTTATGTCTTATGTGTTATGCGTTATGCAAGAGTCTATGCTCCCCGCTATACTATAATAAGAGACTGTGGCATAAGTTCTAGTTGGATAGAAAATGGCGTTTACAGGACGATAAGTCATAGGACGCATTCGCAACTAGGACGGAAAAGCAGAAAAAGTAGGAAAGCAGAAGTCAATCAGAATTCGAGCTGTACTCTCATTTATTACCAGTACGACTTTTGATTGGCTTCTGCCATTCCATATTCAGCCAATCAAAAATTAGCCCATCTATGCCAGTCTCTTATTACAGTGTCTCTAGTTTGGCTTAGCGCTGAGACACTATCGTGTCTCCAGATAGACCGTAATCTGTTAACTTTTTCCGTAATCTGTAAGAATTAACCAATCACAGTCGAATGAGAAGAGAATAATCGACTATGATTGGTCAATTCTCATAGATTACAGAAAAAGTTAACAGATTATGGCCTATTATAAACCAATCCTTAATATTATAAGTCAGCCATTCTGCTAAGGCCCTAAGGTCGGAATCCATAATCCATTCTTATGCGGGGTCTACAATAGAAGTCGTAGCGATCGTAGAGTCTTAAGTCATAGAAAATTGACCAATCACAGTTGATTATTCTTCTCATATTCGACTGTGATTGGTCAATTTTCTACGACTTAAGACCCTACGACTGCTACGACTTCTATTGTAGACCCCGCATTAATCTCAAGCAAGGTATTAAGATGCTAATACGGCTCTCTGATTGGTTCATGCACTGGCTTAAGACCATCTCGAATCTTGAACACCGTCTATGGATTCCGTTCTAAGTTTCACGCCTTTAAATTTCATTGTAGGTCGGTATTCATAGTCAGATATTATGACTATGAATAATATTTATATTCAAGACCGTCTTAAGTGCAATCTTAAGGGGATCCTAAAGCCGGAATCAGACTATGGCCGGTATTCATATTCAGATCTTATTTCAAGACCGTCTTAAGTAATGTCTTAAGATGCTAATACAGCCCTCTGATTGGTTCGTGACATCTCAAGACTGAACTTAAGACGGTCTTGAATATAAGAACTGACTATGAATACCAGAAGATTGAGATTGAAGATTGAAAAATTCAAATTTCAATCTTCAATCCTCAACCTCAATCTTCAATACGTAGTCTGATTCCGGCCTAAAGCTGTTTGTATTACCGACTAAATCGTAATTTTTGTATAACAAATACTTTTTTCCTCTTTCACAGATTCAAAAATCCTTTTCCAGGATTAAAGTATACATATTAATATGTGTTTGTGAAGTGGAGTTTATGCCGAGAACAACAAAAAATTTTTCTTAAGATTTCAATTTCGAAATTTTTTGTCGTTTTCGACATAAATTCCACCTCACAAACACGTATTAATGTGTATACTTTAATCCTGGAAAAGGATTTTCGAGAGAGAGAGAGAGAGAGAGAGAGAGAGAGAGAGAGAGAATCAGTGAAAGAGAAAAAAGTATTTGTTATACAAAAATTACGATTTAATCGGTAATACAGACGGCTTTAGGATCCCCTTAAGAAGTCATGAACCAGAGGGCTGCATTAGCGGCTTAAGCCATTACTTAAGACAGTCTTAAAATAAGAACCGACTATGAATACCAGCCGTAGACGCAGCTTGAGCTAACGCGACAGATAAGAATGTCGACGCTAGATGTCAGTGCTATCGATTGGCGCGATTATTTAAATTTAGAATTATCTCCGCCATATAAAACATTTTTTGATTCCTAATGTAAAATTAAGTATAAAGCATAAATATAAAGTATAAGAGCTTTATTTTGATTTATCAAATCTTTTATTGCATGCACATTATTCAATAAACAAACTTTTTTTAACAGCCGTGCTGCTGCACGCAAGATACAAACTATAACTTAACTCCACTTTTATGTTCACATTTTACTTTTATTATTACTCTTTATACATGAATGTCGAACAGACGCGAAAGTAGCGATTACGGAATGGATCGCAATTTTAGTAACGACAGAAAAATGGTTGATTTCTAAAACTGCACGTAATAAAATACGACATAAATGCGCAATACAGACTTTACAATATATCGTAATTTGTTATTGTCGATGTGACTCATTACCTCGTCTGATAAGAAATCCATATCCGAATTCTTCTTCGGCGGAAGGGAGTAAAAGGAATCCAGCTCTATAAGGGCGATGTTAACGAGCACAGTAACGGTAGCGATGTGCAGCAACATTTTCGTGAAGTGCAACGACCGAAAGTGACAATGCAGTCTCGTTGTGGTACTTATGAAGCTCATGCTCGGATACCCTCGATATAGAGGGTATCGCGTACTGAGCATTGTGAGATAAGATAAGATTTTCATCCAATAAGATCTTCGAATAATTGCATCACTGATCATATCACCCCGTATTGTATGTGATGAGCCCAGTTGGAGAATCACGAGTCAGATTTAAATATGGAGTCCCTGCAGAAAAAAAAAGAATTCCTAAAATGATAATGATTGCTGGAAAAAGTTATGTGAGGTCAGCACCGGCTGACTGTTGGCTGAATGAAATTGCAGACAACATTCTTTATATAGTATCCACAATACAACCCTTTCTTTCAATCTCCTTTTACTACTGATTTCCTATAAATAAACTGTAATAAATAAATGAATACTTTACAACAATATGTAACTTGTATATCCTTGCTTAAAAAAATTAATGTAAACGAATTTTTGCATAGAATTAAAAATAGCTAATTAAACAAAAAAACAAATTAGCACTGATTTCTGAAGTCTCTCAATTAAAAATATTTTAAATGAAAAGTGTTAGAAATAAAGAAGATCAAAGAGAATAATCAATTAAGGAAAATTATAATCGTACACTGATTTTATTTCGTAAGCTTTCGCTTTCAACCGATACGATGGAATCTTCAAGGTCTTTAAAGTTCACATCCCGTATCGTTTGATCCTTCTGTCGTCTGCGACACAAAAGTTCTTGAAACGTTGTCCAGTCTTCATCCTTTTCGATGTCATTACCCTATATAATCACAAAGACAGGAAACTTACAAAGTAAAAATATTCTGGATATATTAATACTGTATATGATGTAAAAAAAGATTACCTCCAAAAATACATGTAGCAACCCTTTGCTGTAATTACCTAATAGCATATAATTCTGATAGTGCAGACACGACACTAGTTTCTTCAACGTCTTATTCGTCAGGCGATTAACTAAATACAGAAAAATCGCTGTCGATTTGTTTGCAATTGCATTTCTGTTGGACACAAACAACCCATACAGCATAGAACGTGCAGCAATATCGTTGCAATAACGCTGCAATATTGCTGCAACATGTAATGTTTGTGCTGTAGGGGAACTTATTTGTGGCAAGTATGCAATCGCATCGATTTGTAACAATAAATTGTTTGTGTCCAACAGAAATCAGCCGACATGTAAATGTATGATACAAAGGAAATTTACAACTCAGGCTCAAATGTTGCAAATTCAAATTTCCACTAGTCATCACACAGCCGTTTATTGCTATAGTTTCTTTTGTAAATGGATGACCAATATCGTTGTTCGAAAGCTTTTTGGAGATCTACAAATATATTTTATATTTACATTTCTTAATGATGTATTACGGAACATTAATGGTATGTTAGAGAACGATAATAAAAATTCTATTAAAAATACTTGAATGGAGCTGTTCGATATCGACGGAGAATTAGGTGGGATTCTCATCTTTGATGAATCTTGATTCGCTGCATTTCGAGAACTATTATGAAGCGAATTTTAAAACAAATTGCAGGAAAGCGCTAAACGTACTTCTTTTAGAATTTTGAAGCAGATTTTGGTATGTTTCATTTTTTCTCCATTTCTCCTTTTCTTGAGTATCTCGACTGTCCAACTGTAATAATAATTATTGGTTTATTAACAAAAAAAAATAATATTACTGTGAAATGATCTATCAACCTTGCCCTCCAGCTCGATAAATCTGCGACGTCTAAGACCGACGATTTCTTCGTGAGTCAAAGTGGACCTATCGCGTCATATTATTAAAAATAAATGCCTAAATTAAGAAATTTGTCTAATTTAATCGCTACTATCAAAGATATACATGGCAAGTTCCTGGATTATCAGTGAAGCGCCGTCATCTTGTATCTCGTTTCCGGTTAACACCACGCTCTGCAAAGATCTACGAATATGTCAACCAACGTTACATTTTATTAAAACTACTTTTGCACAGGGACAGATTAATGTCCATCAAATTAGAATTCTGAGAAACATTTGAAAACTACATAACCGATTAGTTCGAAGCATCTCAGCGATATACTCGGCACCAATGTCCGTAATGTCGTTATCCGCCACATTAAGAGCGATCAATTTTGGGTCGTTCGGTGGGTCCCGATACTTCAACTCGTTTGAGATCTTTTGTATACCGTTATCGGATAATTTACACATCCTCAGTGACAGATAGTGTAAACTGGAACATGCATTTTTTTCATATGAATCAAGCGTTTGTCGCGAGAATTATATTGGATGGGATTATATTGAAATTCGCGATGCACTTTCTTGCCGGTGCGCAAAGCAGGTAATAATTCTCCTGCGGATTCGGATTGTCATCTAGATTCAAATCGTTTAAACATTCAAATTCCGTCAGTATGTGTGCTATCTGCAGGATACCATAGGCATTTATCTGACAACTGGGTAATCTGAGAGAACACAATTATCAATTGTCACAATGTCAAGTTACGTGGTCGATTTTCAAATTTTGTCTTACTTAAGCACCGTGACAGTGTTATATTTCTGCAGCGTGGTGTTCAGTGCATTGAGGATGCAAATCGATACTTCCTGTCGTGCAACATGAAAAATGTTACAAAGCACATAAAGGCGAAAGTCACAATTAATTGTAAATTCGATAATTAGTAAACATTAGTGTATTTTCACGACTTATCTTTACACTCCAGTTTCTGCACAGTCTCCATCTTTTTAGGATTTTCGAAAGTAACATAAAAGATAGGGATGTCCTTGTCCATTTTGACCCTGATTGAAATAAACGAGAATTTCAGAATCCGATGAACATTCAGGAATAGTTGGAATACTCATAGCTAATTCGGTTAAATGCTTTAATGCGTTGATGTATATTAAAGCCATAGCACATTGACTTAGTCCGAGTGTAAAAATGAAATGAAACCATCTCGAATAATAAAATGCACTCTACTGAAAAAAAATCACGTCACAAAGTTACATAACGAAATCAAGTAATTAAAATATGTAAATCATGTAATGAATTGTTCCAAATCAGTACGTAATTTTTTACAAAGTCACATGATGATATGTTTTTTCTTCTATTTCTATCATATAATTATTTAAAATTTGATAACTATAAAATCATATAATACATGAAATTAATTTTAATATCATGTGATTTTTAAATTAAGTCATTTAAAAAAATTATGTACTGATTTGGAACAATCCGTTATATGATTTATTTGTTTTAATTACGTGATATTGTTATGTAACTTTGTGACGTATATTTTTTGGTAGGACATTGTTATACCAAATAGCATAAAAAAGTGTATTGAAGATTTCGCAGTTTAATCTATTTATATATTTATATTAAATACACGTCTTTACATTGATTTGTATACAATGGCTTTAATGTGTATTAAACTAGTGTGTCAAATTCGTTATTACTTTTCTGATTCAATCTTCGCATATTGCTCTGTGCCATCTTTGACCTGTAAAAGAGCAATGTGTCTATAATAAAAATTAATTATACACGCAGGTTTTTGATACGGTAATATTCATTTACGGAAATTTACTATAAAGTTAGGTAACGATTTTATGTCGTATTCCTCGCAATGCGTCAAAAACTCCGTAATAAAATTTTCTTGAGAACTCCTTCTCGAATAATCTGTTGCAGCAAATAATATATTAATAAAAAATTTAATGTATTATTTATTTTAATAATTTTACAAATGTTTCTATTCTTCTTTTAATTCCTTATAATTCTAATATTCCTTATAATTCTTTTTAACAAAAATACTAACTGTTTATTGAGGATTCTCGGTCTTTTATTGACGCAGTGTGCTTGCTTCTCCTGCTTGACATGTTTAACCTCCTAATATTATTATTCTGCGATTTCTATTGTGATGAAAAAAAAAACAAAATGACAAAAAACGTTCAATATGTAATAGCCGCTTTCAACAGAAGTCAGCATTTAATAAACGCTTTGGTTATATTGGATTATACTTTTAGATCTAAAGAAATAATCCTATTTCAACGAAGGAAACTTCCAACTGTTGTAAAAAAAAATATAATATTATACTGCTGAACATTCTTGGTGGAATCATTCTGATTCCACCATGCTGAACATCATCAAAATTATATATGACGAATTCGGAATTTTAAATCATGAAAATAAAGAATCTCGATTTACAAAAATTTGCTCATACATATATGAGGGGATTTAAAAAAATTGTTTATTTATTTTTTTATACACAAAAAAGTATTATTTTTTAAAATAATTATATAAGTCCCTCTCCTTTTTCAATACACTTGGTGCATCTATAAGCTTTTAAATATTTTTTGAAAAAACTTTTTACTCGAATTTGTTTTTTTTTGTTGGGTTACTAATATTACAGATTTTTTCAAAATAGAAATTCTTTTTAATATTTCGTCTTGTAATAGAAACAAGTCAACCTTTTACACATGTTATATTTGCAGACCACTGGCGCCTACGGCTCTCCTCGCCCCTCATCGCGAACATGACATGTAATCTGATGCTTGGGAAATATAGGGGTGATCAACCCCTACGAAGCCATGCGTAATCTAGAGGGGTAAAAGGGAGAGATGGGGAAAAGCCTTTGGGAAAAGTATTGAACGAACTTTGATGCGTGGTTGCGTAACAGGAGGCGGTGAAGATCGAGTCGCGCGATAAAGACTGGCTCTGTCGGGCTTTGTGGGATTAAAGTCTGTAATTATGGACGCTGCGGACGATTACCAAAATGATTTGTGTTGAGGGCCCTAACGGCGCCACAAATAGCGACCGTGAAACTCTTGGGTTTAATCGATGACACATCTCTGCAGCTATGATGGGATAAGCGACAAGCTGTGTTAAATCGATGTCGCGCGTGCTTGGCCAATAAAACAAAATTAGATCATAAATCTTTAATAGGGAAGTAGAGAGAAAATACCATTAAAGGATTTTTCATAAAAACCGAACATGTACAAAAGTTAAATTTTTAACAAACAAATCTTCTCATTTTCAAATCATTTAAAAATTTGTAGTAAAGCTTTCTCTGGTATATAATAGATATAAAAAAAAACAGTTTTAAATTTTTATAAATATTTTGAAGAGAGGGACCCATTAAAAAAATAAAAATTTCTGGACTTGTTTGGTTCTCACGAAAATTTTATATTTACTATTATTTTATTTTATATTTATCTGTTTTTATAACATTAACAATGATATCTTAATCCCTTGAGTGTCAATGACGGAAAAATCTGCCAAAATAAAATTGGCCAAAAGTGCTTCATGTCGGAAAAATCCGCATATTTCATAACGCCAATAAATCACTTTTGTAGTGCAGCAATTGAACTGATAATGCATACTTTAATGATTTTATATTTATAAATTTATGTCATTGATAGTATTGTTGGCACACAAGCGTTTTTCTTGCCTGACATTCAAGGGGTTAACTTCTAAAATATCAAACTTCAACGCTTAATATCTCGATTCACGAAGTCGACCGCCGCATTTTTTTGCCAGATTCTTTCATTTTGAGTGAAAACGCGTTGAATGAATGTATTTTTATTAAGATTTTAGGTGGGATATGGTATTCTAAATAATTACCAACAATTCTTATATTTTCCGTTTGATTCTTGCTGGAACAAAGTTATTCATGATATAACGTTATTGACAGAAAACAATTTGACGTCATAACCCAGTTTTTTTTAAATATACATGTTTGGTTTTGGAGGGAAATCCTTTTATATTATACATGTGTCGTGCGAATTTCACAATTCGCAGATTATACACTCGAAAAATCCTCTAATTTGTCGAAAAATATCAATAAAGAGTTTAACACTCCTTTAATTTTTTAACATAATTACACGTTAAACAATAATGAGCATTCATCTGAATAATTAGGTCACTGTCGAATTAGAATTGCATATTGTCGTGCAACTAGAACGATGAGAGTTGTGAAGTTATTTAAAATACATACAATAAATTACGAGGGTACTTAGTTCGAAAAGTTCTCGGCCTGATAAAAGAAATAACGCTACAAATATTAAATTGCTATAATTTTAGATAAGTTCGATCCTTTACAGGATTACTGTTAAATTTTTATTTCTGACTGATGTGTTCGTTAGTTTCTTTATTTCGGTCATGTAAAGCAGCCAACTTTTAATTTTTTCATGACAATGCATCCGTTCACATTTCTGAAGAAATTTAAGCGAATATATTGCCATGATGGAACCAAACGTTGATTGCTTTAGGGCGTGTTTGGATTCCCACCCGGATGCTCCCTGGGTGTCATGTTATTCTTGTTTAACGTTCGGTAAACAACAAGGATGGAGTGATATCTGAGTGACACTCGAGTGGGAATCTGAACCCAGCACTACACGATTAAAACAAAGAAACTAATGAACGCACCTATCTGAAATTTTAACAGTAGCACTGTGAAGGATCAAACTTGTCTAAAATTATAGCAGTTTGATATTTGTGGCGTTATTTCTATGTCAGGCCGAGAACTTTTCGAACTACCCTCGTATATACGTTAATACGTTTGCCTAATTCTGCTGCACTTTTTATTGCTACGCGCCTCCAAAAATTTTAGTTATCACAATGAGCGAATATTCGTTGTCTCGTTCGTGATCCGTCTTCTCGAAACGAGATTTATCATGTCCGATTCTGCCCCCGCTTATATGCGGCGGCTGACAAGTTCGCGTCTCGTTATACCGCCACTCCGGCGAACGCCGCACGTTCTTCAGTCGTGCCCCGCGCGTCCAGTGAGTTGCACGCGAGGTGGATTATGTGCGCGTTTCGAGTCCGCGATTAAACACGATCGAAGAATCGCGCGTATTCCACCGAACGAAACAATAATTTCCGGTGTTCAATACGCTAAACCACGAAACGTTACTTGTCAATGAGACGCCGGTCTTGTCTAGAAATCGTGCTGGATCAAACACGGAAGAGGGGCGGCGAAAAGTAAGCCCACATTGTTCCAATTGCTGTCGCTTTTCTTATTTTATAATTGCAGTTTCTTAATTATGTAATATTATTGTTAAGAAATATTATAATTTTTAATTCTTCAGCAGGGTTCTTCGCGAAATTCCTGACGGGGGAATTTCGACGAGACGAAAAGTAAGCCGCATTATTCCAATTATTGTCGCTTGTATTATTCTATAATTGCAGATTCTTAGTTTGTGTAATATTACTATTAAGGAATCTTGTAAGGAATTTTATAAGGAATTTTTAATTTTCAAAAACAGCATTCTCCACAAAATTCTCGACGGAAGAATTTTAATAAGACGAAAAATAAGCCGTATTGTTCAAATTACTGGTAATTGTATTATTCTATAATTGCAGTTTCTTAATATTATGCAATATTACTATTAAAAAATATTATAAAGAACATTATAATTTTCAATTTTTAAGCAGCGTTCTCCACGTTCTCCAAATTCCTCCAGGGGAATAATTATTTTGCACGAGATCCTCGAGTTACTCTGAGATCGAAGCGAAACAAAAATTTACAGCTGCGCCAATCCATTGCGGAAGGGATTAAGGGATTATCATTAGGAGTAAGGATTCTCGTCATGCAGAATCATCGTTTGCTCGCTCGCGTTCTCTCGAGTCTCTCACCGATTGCATCGATTTACGAGTGTTTACATCACGATGTCAGGGCGCGCCGTAATCACCCGGTATTATGAATTATGCATCCCGGGGTGGTTTCGAATTTCCTCCCGGTCCGCTTCGTTCCTTTGCGTCGCGGGGACACAGCTTGCTGTCCGCGCGCGATCGTTAATATTAATTTCGGGCGGCGCTAAATTGGTACAAATTGCGACGTCAATTAAACCGTTCTGTCGTTGGTAGTTATGCTTCATGGACCAACCGGCAAGTTTCCATTACTCTGGCTGGTTGGTTTTCTTGTTCTGTAACTCTTCGGAACGCGCTTACCTATCCACGTTTACGTTTGTTTTAAAAAAATATTCGATGAGTGATGTAAAATAAGACATATAGGTGAAATTTGATTCGTAGATCGAATCGTGACGAAATTTGATTTTTCTGATTGCTCATTGTCAGTGAAATGGGATAGTCTGTTGACAAGGATATTCGTTGCAATTTCGTTTACTTAGAAATCTTTCGGTTTTTTCTAGTTAATAGAAAAATATATATAATTATTCGAGATATAAATCGCGAGTTCAGAGTCATAAATTCAGAGTCATAATAATTAAGATGAAATATTTTATTTTATTTTATTTTATTTTAATGACATGAGGAAGAGAAAGAGAGAGAGAGAAAACTTAAATTAATCTTACGTTTTCCCAAGTTTAAAAATTTTCGCGATTCTCCATTGAGTAGTTTTTGCATCGGGCGCAGTAAAGCGCAAAAACGTGGAGAAATCGTCCGAGATCAAATCGTATTTCCAGATGTTGCCGATGCAACTCGGTGCAGCCGGTCGATCGCTTGTTACCAGCCGCTTGTAAATTCACCTTATTCCTTTTTTTCCAACGCGGAAGGGTGCTGCTTGTTTTTCTTTTTCTTCGAGAAAGGAATGCGGGCGACTTGCATCTAGAGAACGACTGATGGAACAAAAGGGTGTTCCCCGCTTGCTATGGAGACCCCGGGTCTTTTCTTTTCGACTCTCAAGTGGGTCAGAGCAGTGGATGTACAAGACACGAAATGATGAACGAATCGAGAAAGTTAATCAGAAAAATATGAGAATACCTGATAAGAATAGAGGAAAAGAGAGATTTCAGAAAAACGTTACACTATTTAAATATGTACAATGATAACTACTGTTAGTAGAAATCTTCAAAGAATTGCATTCTGCTCACAATCATTCTATCGTTGAAAGATACGATGAACGACTGTTGAAAGCACCAATTGATTCAGATTCTGTAATGCATGGAATCTTTCACATCCCTCTCCGCAGTTCGGGCGACGATATATATAATGATGTTTCTTATATATATTTTTCATTACAAAAGTAAAACCTAATGATAGTATCTCCTTTGTCGTATCTTAAATAAAAATTGTTGTACTAAATTAGAAAAATAAAATTCAAGTGATACTATTTTTCATCAAAAAAATAAGTGATATGAATTTTTATATCTCGAATAAAAAAAACTGCATCAAATTAAAAAATGAAACCCATAAAAAGATAAAACTTAAATAGTAATAGTTTCACTCTAAACTTGCAGTGAAATCTCACTCCAAGAAAATGAAAATATAACCACCCTTCATTTCTTGAAAGAGTTTTTTAGAGTGAATTTTCACTTTAAAGGAGTGAAATCTCATTTTTTTTGGAATGATATTTCACTACAAAAAATTCAGAGTGTTTGCATTCCATTGAACGGTCTTCTTATTCTAACCCAAGTAGTAGCTTTAATTCTTCTTAAAAAACTATAATGATATTATAAAATTGCGAAAGGGGGATGAGCAAGAAATTCTGTGAATAATGAGAATGTATTTTCATTTTCTGCATGTTGCGACAGTGATTATGAATCGAAATCGTAAAGTGGATTCTCACGAGTGTCACGCCCACTTTATCGGGAAATCCGCTCTTCTCTCCTTCGCGAGAACCCTTCCTCAAGAAGTAGCGTCACGCATGGGCGCGCATTATTTAAGTCGACGTCCACGAACGATCATTAAAATGCGCGGCGTGTTTCGTTTTCACGCAAATGCGCGAGCCGGCCGAACACGTGGCGAGCGGGCAGAAGAATGAGCTGTAGGGAAGAGTAATGACCGCCAATCGAATCGGCTACTTTTACGAGCGCGAACATTTAATACGTTCCTGATAGGAATAAAGAGGAGGAAAAAGAGAATATAAGTTTCACGAATGTCTCGTCCAAACGAGAAGATGGGGAAGCCGAGGAAAGTACGAAGAGGATCAACTTAAAGATAACAATTTTACGATTGGCTTTCTTTTTATTCTCCGCAGAGTTTCTCATTTCTGATTTCTGAGAATTCTAATTTATAAACAGGATATTTAAAACAGAGTTTTAATTTATGGAAGATATAGTTTCGTGCAATCTCGTACCCTTTTAGCATATCGAGCTTGTATTGTCCGGTATTGTCGTGAATTTTTTTCGCTCTTTCGCAATCAAGTCGAACGGAAGTGGTAGTAACCCACAGAGAGGAACAAGCAGTTGAACCGTTTTACATTCCGTGGGTGTTTCTCTCATCTCTCTCGCTGCCTCTCGTGTACCTCTCCTTCTCTCTCTTTCTGTTTCCTTTCCCTCCCACTCTCGTGGGTCGCTCTTCTGTCTATTGCTTCTATCTTGTCCTTTCTTCCTAGCCTTCTCTCCACGCGCTGGTTCGAGTCCAGCATAGCCAGTCGCTGTGTCATCGAGGCCCGATACATCATAAATATAAATTGGCTGGGCGTTCGTGCGTGTGCACGCATAAATGAAGCCGCCTGCGTGCGTGCGTGCGTGCGTGCGTGCGTGCTCCTGGCAACGTTAGAGAATGTTAATGCTATCCGGCAGCGATGCTCGTCAAAAATGGTAAACAAATTCACCTTAGTGCCCAGGAGTTTCGTATTAACACATCCTTTCGTAATCACAGGAATTTAACAGGGGGAGTAATCAAGAAGTATCTAATTTTCTGCGAGAAACCAGTCTTTTCCCTTTTTCCGCAATTTATATCAGTAAAATAAATCTAACAAAATTGGTTATTTTTTTTATTCAGTTTCGTAAACTACACGTTGATTTAATACATCTATGGTCTTAAAACAAATCTTAAACTGAAACTGGGATGGTAACGTCACAAATTAAATTAATAAGCAATTTAACGATATCAACGCTGATAAGCATCTTAAAACATTGTGAAGAATTTATTGCTAAAAGTATAATCATTTTATATTATTTTGCACGATTAGAATTAATGATAAATTCATTCTCTCTAGTTCGAACGGCTTGATAAACGTAATCTATCTTTCGCCCTTTTGCTCGTACCTCCCAAGATATTTCTGAATCCATCGTTGATTTATCTTACTTGCAGAACCGGCAGCGGCAGCGTCATGATTCTAAGTGCGTCGTGAAACAACGAGATCGCGTGAGTCTTGCTGGAGTGCGGAAATAATCTCGATTTCGAGCAACTGCGGTGATTAACGGCGTTCGTGGAATCGTCCGTGGGTCCATCCGTTCATTTCAGTTACACCGTATTCTCTGCGTTCGATCCCTCGTTGCGTCCTCACACTCTCTCTCTCTCTCTCTCTTTCTCTCCTTTATGTTTTTGCATTCCTTATGTTATCACTTTCTTTACTTTATTTCATTTATTTCATTATTATGTACTTTTTTAAGTTATATTTCTTTTTATTTTGTATCGTTTTTTAATTTCTCTTTTTTTTTCTTATTACTTGCTCTTTTTCTATTTAAAGTCGTGTTCTTAAAGGGCTTGTCCTAAAGTAATAATAAATGCTTCATATCTCTCTCTCTCTCTCTTTTTATCTCTATCTTTCTCTATTTCTTCCGGAGAACTCAAACTCGTCTCATCCATTTCGCTTGAAACGCGACGAGCGCAGGAAAGCATAGCTAAAACAGGCAGACCTAATCGTGCTGGCCTTGCGATCGCCTTCGGCGATTAGTGCCGTAGAAATATGCACGCAGACGCGGGCGGCAAGTGTGCAACTTCCTGAGGCACGAGATAAGCTCGTTAACAACGAATTTGTATGCGTGCACACCCGAGAGCGGCAAGTGCTGCCGATAAACGCGACGGATCATTTTCAGCGCGTGTCCAATCTAAACACCTCATATATATGCGATCTATATACGTGACTGGAAGTTCAAGTAACGCAAGGCTAAGATCTATCATATTACAAAATTTTACAATAGTTGCAAAGCCGATTTTTCTGCTATAAATACCATTTTGCATTTCGCACGACTGCGGTGCGTTATTATAAAAATATCAATAATATATTTTTTTGTGTCTGCGAAATTAAATTATATATCGATCTAGAAATGACGAAAAATTAAAAATTAGAA